CTGATGGGCACTTGGACTGTTTTCAGATCTTAGCTATTGTAAATTGTGCTATGAACACAGGGGTGCATACGATCTTTCTGATTGGTGCTTTGGGTTTCTTAGGATATATTCCTAGAAGTGGGATCACTGGGTCAAATGGCAAATCCAATATTAATTTTTTGAGGAAACTCTATACTGTTTTCCATAATGATTGCATCAGTCTGCATTCCCACCAGCAGTGTACTAGGGTTCTCTTTTCTCCACATCCTCTCCAGCACTTGTCATTTGTTGATTTGTTGATGATAGCCATTCTGACAGGTGTGAGATGGTACCTCATTGTCATTTTAATTTGCATCTCCCAGATGATTGGTGACTTTGAGCATTTTTTCATGTCTCTTATGTCCTCTTTAGAAAAGTGTCTAGGTCCTTCGCCCATTTTTTAATTGGATTGTCTTTTGTTAAGTTGTATGAGTTCCTTATATATATACTAGAGGCCTGGTACAGAAATTTGTGCACCAGTGGGGTCCCTCGGCCTGGCCTGCGGGATTGGGCCGAAACCAGCTCTCTGACATCCCCCAAGAGGTCCCATATTGTGAGGGTGCAGGCCAGCCCGAGGGACCCCACCAGTGTACAAATAGGGCTGGGGAGGAGTGCGGGAGGTTGGCCAGCCAGGGAGGGACCATGGGAGGGCTCCAGGGCATGTCTGGCCCTTTTTGCTCAGTCCTGATCAGCTGGACACAGCAGCAAGCTAACCTACCAGTCGGAGCATCTGCCCCCGGGTGGTCAGTGCACATCATACCGACTGGTCTACTGGTCGACTATCTGCCCCCTGGTGGTCAGTGCACATCATAGCGAGTAGTTGAGCGGCCTTAGCATATCATTAGCATATTATGCTTTGATTGGTTGAACGGACGACCAGACACTTAGCATATTAGGTTTTTATTATATAGGATATATATTTTAAAATATTTTTATTGACTTCAGAGAGGAGAGGGATACAAACATCAATGATGAGAATCATTGATTGGCTGCCTCCTGCATGCCCCCTACTGGGGATCGAGCCCAAACCTGGGCACGTGCCCTTGACTGGAATTAAACCCAGACCCTTCAGTCCGCAGGTCAACACTCTATCCACTGAGCCAAATTGGCCAGGGCTCCTTATATATTTTGGATATTAACACTTTATCAGATGTATCATTGCTAAATATGTTCTCCCATATAGTTGGCTTTTTGTTTTGTTGCTTTCTTTTGCTGTGCAGAAGCCTTTTATTTTGATGTAGTCCCATTTGTTTCTTTTCTCCTTAGTTTCCTTTGCACTAGATGTGTCTGTAAACACATTGCTACAAGAGATTTTGCTGCCTATTGTTTCTTCTAGGATTTTTATTTCATGATTTACATTTAAGTCTTTTATCCATTTTGAGTTTATTCTTGTGTATGGAGTAAGTTGGTGGTCTAGTTTCATTTTTTTGCATGTATCTGCCCAATTCTCCCAGCACCTTTTACTTTTTAAAAAACATATATTTTTGATTTCAGAGAGGAAGGGAGGAGAGAGGCAGAAACATCAATGATGAGAGAGTATCATTAATTGGATGCTTCCTGCACACCCACTAGGGATCGAGCCCATAACCTGGGCATGTGCCCTGATGAGGAATTGAACCGTGATCTCCTGGTTCATAGGATGATGCTCAACCACTGAGCCATGCTGGCTGGGCTGCTGTATTATTCTTTTAAAATATATTTTTATTGATTTCAGAGAGGAAGGAAGAGGGGGAGATAGAAACATCGATGAGAATCATTGATCGGCTGCCTCCTGCAAGCCCCACACTGGGGATCAAACCTGCAACCCCAGGCATGTGCCCTTGACCAGAATCAAACCTGGGACCCTTCAGTCCGCAGGCTGATGCTCTATCCGAGCCAAACTAGCTAGGGCTGTAGTATTTTTACTGAAACAGATCAACATGGTCTATGGCTCTTGGTATGTACCTAGTTATCTTCCCATCCTCATCAATAGAGGATCAAAGGCAGTTCACAATTAAGAGGGAAGGAGAACAAAATATGCTCAATTTCTTGACTCCAGGGCCTGATCAACCCTATTTCACAAAGAGACCTTGATTTTCTGGACATTCTGGGGAACATTATTCTAGTGATGACATCATAATAATCAGATTTGGTGAAAAGGAAGTAGCAAGTGTACTGGGTCCCTCAGTAAAACACACATGTACCAGAGTATGGGAGGTAAACCTTATAAAGATTCAAGGGTCTTTTATATCAGTTAAGTTTTTATTTTTTCTTAATGTTTTTGATTTTAAAGAGAGAGGGACAGAGATGGATGAGAGAAAAACATTGATTGGCTGCCTCCTGCACACCCCCACTGGGGATCGAGCTCACAACCTGGCATGTGCTCTAATCAGAAATTGAACTGACGACCTCCTGGTTCATGGGTCGATGTTCAACCACTGAGCCACACTGGCTGGGCTCAGTGAAGTTTTTAAGGGTCCAAATATCTGAGGCATGCTGGGAAATTCTAAGGAACAAATTATTGCATCTTGTCCTCACTACTAAGAAAAAGGCAGTGTTTGAAGAGCCTCTTTGGATTTTGGAGGTAACATATACACTTTCAAGTGTGGCCCAGAGGCATAGAGCCCAAGTGCCATATGACCGGCAGATTCAGATGGTGTTAGAGGTATCTGTGGTAGGTGAACAATGTGTAGAGCAGGGGTCCTCAAACTTTTTAAACAGGGGGCCAGTTCACTGTCCCTCAGACCGTTGGAGGACCGGACTATAGTTTAAAAAAAAAACTATGAACAAATTCCTATGCACACTGCACATACCTTATTTTGAAGTAAAAAAACAAAATGGGAACAAATACAGTATTTGTATTTGCATGTGGCCCGTGGGCCGTAGTTTGAGGACCCCTGGTGTAGAGGTCTCGTAAGCCCTAGTAGGAGCTTGCCAATAGAATTCTAGAGCAAGGCCATGCCTTCTACAGCAAAGAACAATTCAGTTTGAAGAGCAGCTCCTGGGATACTACTACCCATGACATCAGGTGATCATGTAACTGGAGCTGTTGATTACAGCTGAGTATGCTCTGATTCATTAAATCAGGTGGACACAGCAACAATCCATTATATGAAAGAAATGTCACATTTGCGATCAGGCATGAGCAGGTCCAGTCACAGGTTATATAAGCAGGAAGCTCTCACCTGTGTCACCTGCCTTTGCTGAACTGATACCTCCCTCTGTTCATACCTGTGAACTCATGGAAGGCTCCCTTAGACATGTTGGTGGAATAAATCTGCGGTCTGTTTCACAGAGTCAGCTCAATGTTAGCATGAATCAAGAAGGCATTGTTAATTCCGTGTGCTTCCTTGGGAGTCAAATCTGGTGGGCAGAGCTGCAGGCAGGCAATCTGGCACCAACTTTGTTTGGAGGAAGAAGTAGCCCGAGATAAAGATTCCGTGGCCTCTTGGGCTGTGGCAAACAGCTTGTCTAGACAAGGGGCCTGCAAAGAATAAGGTTGAAAGTCTGGGGACAAGATCTGAGGAAGATTTCAGCTTAAGGACAGATGGACCAAAGGGGGCTGAAACAAAGTGTGTAGATCTTTGTGTCATACATCAATGCCCCTCAGAAAGTACCCACTGCACAGAAGGTTTCAGGAAAATAAGGGGCAGTACAGATAGGGATCCATTCACCTCTCACCAGAGGAGGATGAGGCAAGTCTTGAGGCTTAGCAGCTCTACCTTCATTTCCTTCACGTGGAGCAGCTCCAGGAGCCTACAGATAATCAGCTGCTTCTAATCACTAAGTTCTGTGTGGGCCTTCATCATGGTTAATATATAAATAGGAGAGCTCACATTAAAGGTACTGAGTTAGAGTGCTGGCAGGACATCAGGTCATCAGCAAGCTACTGGAACAGTAAAGACATTTCAGATTTCCAGCACAATTGATTTTTTTTTAAAGTAATGACTCTCTAATACATTTGGCTGGTGCATAAAGACTTGCTACCTGTAGTTTAATCTGATCCCAGGGTGGCATACCGGCAGTTTCCAGAGATCAGAACTGGTACTAGACATGACACTTTCTTGTCCCTAATCCTGGCATATCAGGTTTGTTGAACACTATGGCTGTAGCAGTAGACAAAAAGACATTTTAGTGACTATTAGTAAGAGGTGAAAAAAAACTCAGAACAAGATAAGCAAGTGATAGGAGGAAGGAGTGAAGTAGTTGGTTTCTAGGTAACAGGAAGACTTACCTATTGGCCAAAAGATTTTTTATAAGGTAGAGAAGTATCTTAAGAAATAAAAGAGATTGCAGTCAGAAAGAAAAGATGGGATGGGTTTAAGTTAATCGAACTGGGTATTACTGACTTCTGGAGTTTAGAAGAATGAAGCTTCTGAGGGAGAATCAGTTTTTCAGACTTTGGCAGAGACGAGTATACACAACCAAAATGCACAAGAGGCTGACAAAATGTTCCCAGTGATGAAAAAAATGTATTCAGTATGTAGGGAAAAAAAGCACAGACCAAAATGCAACTATTCTACACACTACTGCAATTTCCTAATATACACATTCATTCACAAGTACTACATATTCTATTTACCCCAAATCCAAATTTCCCCCAAGATAAACCAGTAGGAATAGTTTTTCTCTCTAGAATAGTGTTCAATAAACAACATACCATTTATTATAACAGTCCTGCGATGTTATAAATTTATTCTGAATCAGATTAGATTATATTCAAATGGCTCAATTCTTCACAAATCATAATTCTTTAATGTATGTTAAACAGTCATAATGCTTTTTCCATAACTATACTTGATACACATCACTTTAACTATACAAAAGGCAATGCCGGCATGGTTACTGGGACCTGAAGTGTGGTGAGGGGATCGGCTTCAGTTAAGCTGGCGAGGAATCCACCACACCCTCTAGGACAGCCGTGGGCAAACTACGGCCCGCGGGCCGGATCCGGCCCGTTTGAAATGAATAAAACTAAAAAAAAAAAAAAAGACCGTACCCTTTTATGTAATGATGGTTACTTTGAATTTATATTAGTTCTCACAAACACTCCATCCATGCTTTTGTTCCGGCCCTCCGGTCCAGTTTAAGAACCCACTGTGGCCCTTGAGTCAAAAAGTTTGCCCACCCCTGTCCTAGGACCTTCCTTCCTACTGTGCCATTGCTCTCACTCCTCCAGGGTCTCTTGATGTTGAATGAAACAAAACCTAGCACTTAAGTCTATATTACAATTATCTGACTTCTCCCTAGCATCCACGTTCTAGAGTTACAAACACACACACACAATAACACTGAGAGCCTACTCGACAGTTACAGCACTTCTCCCTCTCCAGTGTGGACTCTCTGATGTTTGGAAAGATTTGACTTACTACAGAAGGTTTTCCCACAATTATTACACCAATAGGGCTTTTCCCCAGTATGGATTCTATGATGTTTATTAAAATTGGAGCTGTGGTTGAAAGCTTTTCCACACTCCTTACATTTATATGGCTTTTCTCCAGTGTGGAGTCTCTGATGAGAACTAAGACCTGCGTGCTGACTAAAGCTCTTCCCACATTCATTACACTGATAAGGTTTCTCTCCAGTGTGTATTCGATAGTGTCGAATCAGGCTGCCTTTACCACTGAAAGCTTTCCCACAATCTTTACACTGATATGGAGCCTCTTCAGTGTGCATGCGCTGATGTTTAAGGAGATCTGAGCTCTGACCGAAGGCTTTTCCACACTTACAGTCATAGGGCCGGTCCACCAGGTGTGTTCTGTAATGAAGGGTAAGGTTTGAGCTGTGGCTGAAGGCTTTTCCACATTTGGTGCACACATAGGGTTTTTCCCCAGTGTGTGTTCTCCGGTGTTTAGTAAGATTTGAGCTATTGCTAAAGGCTTTTCCACACTCAGCACATATGTAACGTCTCTCTCCTGGGGCAGGTTTAGTGGACATTAATTCTCTACCTTTCTTGGAACCTTTGTCTAGGAGAGAGGTTTTTTTTCCTCTTTCTTTTTCAAGGTTTGCCCATTGCCTTTCTAACTTGGCCTCAAATTTATTGGCAATAACCATGGGAGTAATATCCTTTTTGAATTCTTCTGCATGAGACTCTTCAGAACTTTCCTGCATATCTGTTGATTCCTCATTCTGGGTGTTCGATTTACAATCTGAAACAATAAGTAGAATAAGGACATGTGAATTGTTTCCTGTTCTGAGAAGAAACTGTTAAAGGACAAAGAAAATCATCGAATGACATTGATAGATTTTATCAATGCTTTATGAGAGTTCACAATATCACAATTATACAAATAAGTCATCATCAAATCTAGTTTACAATACCAGACTTTCACACAAGCTGCCTATTAAAAGCTATGATGGTATGAAGAGAACATGGCTTTTTCTGCTAGGAGGAGAACTTCATATATCAAGGGCAATAAGGCAAAGCCAAGCATATAGCAGCAAAGGAAGATAGGAGATGCTTGGGCAGAATGAAACAACTTAGAAATATTGCTGAAGGGTCAATCTGATTAAGGAAAATAAAAGAATAATTAAGGGAGAAGAGACTAGTGGCAAACTCAAAAAATCTATATGCTCATAGAAGCTAAATATCTATATATATAAAAGGCTAAGTTGACTTGCGCATGCGCGATAAAGTTCTCGCTGGCGCCAATCACATGTGTGTGTTTCTATCTGTCATTGTCGATCGTGAATTCGGTTGACACTTCTATTATAGAGAAAGGGTGAATAGCAATATTAAAATATTTCTTCTAATTAATTTCAATGTGCATGAATTCGTGCACCAGACCACTAGGAAAAGCAATAAAAGAGAACATTTAGTCCATTTATAATCATTCTAGTCCCAGATCCTCCTCCTCCTTCTTTAATATGTTTTTATTGATTTTTTTAGAGTGAGAGGAAGGGAGAGGGAGAGAGAAACATTGATTGGTTGCCTTCTGCACACCCCCTACTGGGGATTGAGCCCACAACCTGGGCATATGCCCTGACGGGGAATCGAACCAGTGAACTCTTGGTGCATGGGATGAAGCTTAACCAACTGAGCCACACTAGCCAGGCCCAGATCCTTCTTAATTTAAGTGAAAGTACTTAACTCCCACCAGGGTTCAAATCTTATAATTTAATCTACATCAGCTAGCTCTTGTTATTCTTTTAATTATAAAGTATCAGTGTTGAAATCAGATTGAAGCAGTACATCTTTTAAGAGCATTTCACTAGGCAGTCACACTGCTAAAAGTCCATCTAACCATCCACACACATGGAAAGGGGAGTAATAGAAGTTTCCTTTGAAAAATGGACTCCTCTTTTTTTAAAAAATATATATTTTTATTGATTTCAGAGAGGAAGGGAGAGAAAGAGAGAAAAACATCAACAAGGAGAATCATTGATCGTCTGCCTCCTGCACACCCCACACAGGGGATCGAGCCCGCAACCCAGGCATGTGCCCCCAACCAGAGTCGAACCTGGGATCCTTCAGTCCACAGACTGATGCTCTATCAACGGAGCCAAACCGGCTAGGGCAAAATGGGCTCTTAAGCACAGTCTTCCCTCCATGGGTACAAAAGTCCCACTTGACAAAGGTACCTCCCTCTAGTCCCCTTTTCCTTATCCCTCTGTCTCTGTCTCCTGACCATCTATTTCCTTCCTCTGTCAGCAGTAACTACTTAGCTGCTTCCAGGCTCACCCCTTACTCACTGTCTGCTGCAGTGGGAGCTAAAATCTCTCTCACGCTCCATGAGGAGCAATCACATGGCTACTCATACAGGCTACCCTTCAAGTTGCCATGAACTATGTGTAGGAAATAAGTAACTTAAAAGTTAAAAATTTTAAATACCCTGAGACAGAAGTTGAATAAATTTACCAGGGATCATTTCTGCATAATCCAAAGCTGATTACATATATAACAGGCTCACTCAATCATTAACAGATGAATGGTCCTACCTTGATTCTGTCTTAGCTCTGGAGTGAAATCCTGCTCTTCACCAGTCTCTTGGATGTACAGGGGTCCCCAAGACTCATATTTGGGACTTGTTTCCACAGACTGTGGCCGGGCGCTGCTCAGAGACTCCTTTGCTGCTCCTGAAGAGGACATCTTCTCCCATGCCTGTTTCTGTTCATTGGGAGGAGGTGAAACCTAGACAATTAGGAACGGCTGGATTTGTCCACAGCGCACTTTATTTTGTAACAGTTGCAGTGAACCTCTTGAGTGTGACTCTATGTACACATGCAACTGTTTCCTTAATGGTGCTTCTTTTTAAAAAAAAAAAATATTTTATTGATTTTTTAGAGAGGAAGGGAGAGGGATAGAGAGTTTGAAACATCAATGAGAGAGAAACATCGATCAGCTGCCTCCTGCATACCCCCCCCCACTGGGGATGTGCCTGCATCCAAGGTACATGCCCTTGACCGTAATCGAACCTGGGACCCTTCAGTCCACAGGCCAATGCTCTATCCACTGAGCCAAACCGGTTAGGGCCACAGCTCACTTTAGAACTAAAATGAAAGAAAATCTCAGGAGAGCTATGTAGAATCTCTAGGAAAGAGAAAAGAGAAACACCCTCCCATTCAATTCTCAAGGCTAAAGCTAGTGTAGGATAATAGGAAAAAGAGGAGGAAACATGGTCTAAATCTGTAGACCCCCCCCCCCCCCACACACACACACACCTACCTGCTGTCCTGGTTCATCCAGTTTCTTGCTCCAGGTCTTCCAGGAGAGTGACAGCCTCTTCAGCACTCTCTGGACAGTGCTCCTGTACCCAGGCCTGCAGCTCCCGGGGCAGGATGGTCAGGAACTGCTCCAGCACCAGCAGCTCCAGGATCTGCTCCTTGGTGTGGATCTCGGGCCTCAGCCACTCACAGCAGAGCACCCGGAGCTGGCTCAGGGCCTCCCGGGGTCCAGGTGTGTCATGGTATCCAAACTGCCTGAAGCGCTGGCGGAACATCTCCAGGCTGGGAAAGCACTTCTCCTTCTCCGCCTCCTCAACTTTCACAACCACGGGCCCCGCCTGCTCCTGTAGAGGCCCATGGCCCAGACCTGTGGCCACGCCCAAGACCTTGGTCATCATATGGCCTCCAGAAACAGCCTCACCAAAGATGGGGCTCTTTGTAGAAGGAATATTGGTTACTTTGAGTTTCTGGTTCTTCAGGACAACAGGCTCAACCTAAGAAAAAATGGTTACCATAAAATTACTAAAGTAAGTATTTTTAAATTTTGGTCTTACAGTTACACTTTCAGCACAAGAAATTGTGGAAATTATGGCCACTATAATACTACCATGTAAAAATTACTATTCAAACCTCTCTGGAGTTAGCTCAGAATATCCTACTTTGATTTTACTTTCAAAAAAGCACACTGTGGCCCAGCTGGTGTGGCTCAGTGCAGGGTTCAATTCCCAGTCAGGGCACATGCCTGGGTTGTGGGCTTGATCCACAGTAGGGGGCGTGCAGGAGGACCAACTGATGTGTCTCTCTCACATCAGTATTTCTCTCTCTCAAAAAAAGGGAAAGAATATTTCAGGTGAGGATTACCCCCCCCCCCCAAGTGCACTTGGCATAATTTAAAAATTAAATTTACATATTTACATTAACTGTGCTCTGAAAACTTTTTTAGACTCTTAGAACTCCTGAGGTTTCAACAGGCTATTGCTGGCCAGAAATGTACATTTATGTTATAGCTTTAAATTAGGTGTTTAGATTCACACATTTAGTGAATACGTATTTAAAAACATGCATTTTATATATGACTGTTCCCCTTCATTTATTTTTGTGATCAACTTTTGCAATTTAACCCTTTGCACTCCGCTGTCCCCTCTCAGGGGACATCGGAATTCTAGCATATCACTCGGATGTCCCCTCTCAGGGGACATTGCAGTTTATTAGTGATTACGGGGAATTGAGTTATTTCAACGCAACTTTTTGAGACATGCATGTTTCCCTGAAGTTTTATCTTGAAATGGCACAAGAAATTAAATCAAAATATCGTAAAATTACTAAGATATATACAAGAAATGTCAGCGGGTTTTGTGTCGGATTAAACAATAAACTACATATTCCCGATGTGGGACAAAGAAAACGGGACTGCATTGTGTGTTCTAACAGGAAAACACCTGGTGGCAGGCGTCAAACCACTTATTACTGTCAAACATGCACTAATCAGCCTGCAATGCATATTGGGGAGTGTTACAAAACTTATCATACTGTACAAAATTATAAACAATAAAATATTGTTTTTTTTGCAAATATACATTCCTCGATGTCACCCAATTCATATAAGTCCAATATCATTATAATACGTTACTTGGTTCCAAAATTATACTAAATAATACGAGGGTCTGTAAATGCACGTTTCCGCCGCAAAGTAGCGTCGAGTAGCTGGTAGCCAATGTCCAGAATGGTTCGGAGTGCAAAGGGTTAAAAAAAATGTGAAATGGGATTTTGGTAACAGAACCTCAGTATGTAACCTTGCTTTTATGAAAAATTCAATAATTATCAGCATTCTAAGGATGTCAGTACTTGGACTCCCCTCCACTGTACCAATGCGGAAGCATTCTATGAGATGTCAACAGGTGCCCTGACAGGGTGAACTAGAATCAGCACCATCCACTCACTCCCTAATGCTGTCCTACACACCCAATTCGCTGCTGGAGCTCCTGAGTTCAGTATTACTTGAAAATTGAGCCAAAGAAGCATTGCCATTAGTCCCCTAAAATAAAGGCTCTGGCACCAAAGACTACAGAAGTAGCAGTGCTGGGAGCATTTCTTAGGGATGCTTAAAAGTCGACTTCAGTGTTGAACAACTACATACTTGGTTACAAAATTTCACACTCCAGCCAGAGGAGGGCAGTCCAACAACAGGAAAGACATCAGAACCTGTTTGGGCTACTTAGCTTCTGGGATCCAACTACAACGGCCAATTTTCCTCCAGCCTGGACCTCTCTTTTGAAGTTTAGACTTATATGACCAACTACCCACTTGACACTGCCACCAGCCTGTCCAAAGTCATCTCAAGCTTAACATGTCCAAAACTGCACTTCCCATCTTCCCCCCAAAGCTGCTCATCTGTTAATGGCAGCTCTACTGCTCTGTTTTCATGGACCAAAAAAACGTGGTCATCCCTGATTCCTCTCTTGTTTACATTCTGCATATAATTCATAAGTAAATCCTGTTAGCTCTACATCCAAGAGCTACAGAGTTCAACCTTCAACACTGCCATCCCAGTCCATCACCAGCAGCCTAATTGCTTCCACTCTTACCTCAGTCCATTCTCAACACAGCAGCCAGGGATCTCCTGTTCCTCTGCTCACACCTCTCAAGGCTTTGTGTCATACAGAGTAAAAGCCAAAGGCATCAAATGGCCAAGGCCTCCCTGTTGTCTCTGACCTTATCTTGTACTTCTCTGTTCATTCCACCCCCAGCAGTTCCTGGACTTGTGGGCACACTCCCACCTCAGAGCCTTTGTCCGGCTGCTCCCTTTAACTCTTCCTGCAGATCCCACGCTTCTTCCAGATTATGCATGCTTGGCTCCCGCCCCTCTGACCACCCTGTTTTATTTATTTAAAAAACTTTTTTTACTGATTTCAGAGAGGAATGTAGAGGTAGAAACATCAATAATGAGAATCGTTAATAGGCTGCCTTTTGCATCCTACACTGGGGATCAAGCCCACAACCTAGGCATGTGCCCTGACCGGAAATCGAACCGTGACCTCCTGGTTCATGGGTCGATGCTCAACCACTGAGCCACACCAGCTGGCATGACCACTCTGTTTTAAACTGTACACTATCCTCCCTCACCTCAGAACTCCTTATCCTCCTATTCTTTTCCTCTATATCACTTACCACCATACAAATGCTATATATTTTACTTTTATTTTTTTAAACTGTCTCCATCCTTGAAAATCAATTCTTGAGGGCGGAGACTTTCATCTATTTTGTTCACTGCTATATCTCAAACATCTAAAATATACCTAGTACTTTGCAGTTACTCAAATATCTGTGGAAAGAATGCAATGCATGGATCTTTGGGTCTACTTTTAAGGAGTAAAAACTGTAAAATTGGGTTTAAAAATATCAATACAAATTTAAATTTTAAAAATATGGCAGTAAGAATTCATGTTTAGTGTAATATAGACAGAGGTTGATACAGAATTAGATAATGTGTGTACATGGGTTACTATGGAGACATTTGTTTTCTAGCTCTGTCTGCTGTGAAGGTCCAGAAGCAATGACGTCCTGGTAGGAATAAGCATACCCAGTGCTCAAATCTTGGTCTCTAAATATCATTCTCCAACGAAAGGAACTAGAGATGGAGAAATGGTTGATTCTAGGTTGGGGACTATACAAGCTAAGCCTGGAGCCACCTTGTAATGCCAGAAAGTATTAAACAACCACAGTGAGGCATGTTAAAGGGACACAGAGACAACACATAAAAGCTCCCAACAGTCACAGCTGATACAATTTGAAACACAAAATAAATGGTGTAGTACTAGATTATAACCGTAAGTGTAATATCAATATCCGTAAGCCTGTACTGATGTTAAAAGGGTGGATGAATAAATAAATAGAGGAGAAAAGACAAATCTCCCATACAGAATTATTCCAAAAAATGTATGTAGATACTCCCCTCAAGAAGGGGGAGCTCCACCTCTTGAATATAGGCTACACTTACTGACTTGCTGGGGGAAAGTAACTACAGTGAAGAAACCTGACAAACTACTACCTCAGCCAGTTGATCAAAATTAACATCATCATGGTCTCTATATATCTACACACACACACACACACAATGCAATACCACTCAGTCATAAAAAATGAAATATTGCCATCTATGACAACATGCCCGGAGCTTGAGCAAATTATGTTAAGTGAATTAAGTCAGCTAGAAAAGGACAAGAACCATATAATTTCACTCACATGTGGAACTAAAAAAAGAAAAAAGTTACAAATGAACAAACAAAGCAAAACAAAACAAACCACAAACTCAGAGATCCAGACATACAGACATAATGGTAGTTAGCAGAAGGGAAGAGCAAAATTGGTAAAGGGAATCAAAATATATGGTAATGAATGGTAACTAGACTTTTGGTGTGGGAGCATGAAATAGATATCGAACTACCATGTTGCACACCTGAGATTTATGTTACTAACCAATGCTACCTCAGTAAAAACACATTTAAAAAAAAAGATTAATATCATCAGTGATAAGTCATGTGCCTTGACATGATATGAGAAGAGCACTTCACTTCTGTGGTCTTCCTCTTCAAAACCCATAACCACAGGAGAATCGAAGATGGCGGCATAGGTAAACACCGGAGTTTGCTGCCTCGAACAACCACTTCAAAAATACAACTAAAAGTCGGAGCGGACATCAACCAGAACCACGGGAAGGCTGGCTGAGGAGAGTCTCTTCAACTAGAAGCAAAAACAACAGCATTCCGACGCTCAGCGGAGGCGCAGTGTGGAAAACTTAAAGGTACGGCGGTGCGGTGGTGAGGGTGCGCACGCAAAGCGGGCTGGCGGCTGAGGGCGCGATTGTCGTTTTCAATCAGGAGCGAGTCTCAGACTCTGGGCTACAGATCCGGGCGAGTCTCTAGGGACCCAGACTCAAACGGGAGAAGCGGGACTGTCTGGCTACGGCCCCTCCGAGGTTTGCAGCGGTTACGGGGACAGAGAGGCAGAGCCCCTGGGGACGGACTGAGAGCAGTCATAGCGGCTCCCTCCCCCCGCCCTGTTGAGCCCGCCCTGCCCAAGCCCTGCGCATGGCCATTTGCCGATCGCCTCAGGCAAAGGCTGGAATAGCGCCCCCCCAGAAGACAGACGTTTTCCACAGCTGATTCCTACAGCCAGTCGGCCTGGTGGTCAAATCCCTCTAGTGTTAACTACAACAATTAAGGCTTGGCTAGAACAAGACTGCGCACAGAGACCACAAGGGGGTGCACCAAGAAAGCATATAAGATGCGGAGACAAAAAAACATGACAGAAATGGAGGATATGGAGCTAAGAATCGCAATTTTGAGGGCTTGTCATAAATTTGTGCAGAGCCTCACGAAAACTAATGAGACCCTCGATGCTACGATAAAGAAATTAGAAAGTAAGCATACACGGACTGAAATAAAGAATATTATACCCAATAGCAGACCAGAGGAGCACAAGAAACAAACCAAAGATTCGACAAAAAACACCCAATTGGAAAAGCAAAATGAAAAAAGAATCCGAAAGTGTGAAGATAGTGTAAGGAGCCTCTGGGACAGCTTTAAGCGGTCTAATATCAGAATTATTGGAGTACCAGAAGATGAGAGACAGCAAGATATTGAAAACCTATTTCAAGAAATAATGGCAGAAAACTTCCCCCACCTGGAGAAAGAAATGGACTTACAGGTCCAAGAAGCGCAGAGAACCCCAAACAAAAGGAATCCAAAGAGGACCACACCAAGACACATCATCATTAAAATGCCAAGAGCAAAAGACAAAGAGAAAATCTTAAAAGCAGCAAGAGAAAGAGGCTCAAATACCTACAAGGGAATACCCATACGACTGTCAGCTGATTTCTCAACAGAAACTTTGCAGGCCAGAAGGGAATGGCAAGAAATATTCAAAGTGCTGAATACCAAGAACCTACAACCAAGATTACTTTATCCAGCAAAGCTATCATTCAGAATTGAAGGTCAGATAAAGAGCTTCACAGATAAGGAAAAACTAAAGGAGTTCATCACCGCCAAACCAGTATTATATGAAATGCTGAAAGGTATCCTTTAAGAAGAGGAAGAAGAAGAAAAAGGTAAAGATACAAATTATGAACAACAAATATGCATCTATCAACAAATGAATCTAAGAATCAAGTGAATAAATAACCTGATGTACAGAATGAACTGGTGATTATAATGAATCAGGGACATAGAAAGGGAATGGACTGACTATTTTTGGGGGAAAAGGGGTGTGGGAGATGCGGGAAGTGACTGGACAAAAATCATGCACCTATGGATGAACTCAGTGGGTGGGGAGTGAGGGTGGAGGGTGGGGTGGGAGATGGAAGGAGGGGAGTTATGGGGGGAAAAAAGAGGAACAAATGTAATAATCTGAACAATAAAGATTAAAAAAAAAAAAAAAAACCCATAACCACAGCCTAATCATAAGAAATACATCAGACAAACCAAATTGAGGGACATTGTACAAAAACAACTGACCAGTAGTCCTCAAAACTGTCAAGTTAATAAAAAACAAGGAAAGACTGAGAAACTGCCACTGACCAAAGGACACGAAGCAGGCATGAAGACTAATGTAATGTGGTATCCTAGTTGGGATCCTGGAACAGAAAAAGGGCATTACAACTAGTGAAAGCCCTGACTGGTTTGGCTCAGTGGATAGAGCGTCGGCCTGCAGACTGAAGGGTCCCAGGTTCGATTCCAGTCAAGGGCATGTACCTTGGTTTCGGGCACATCCCCAGTAGGGGGTGTGCAGGAGGCAGCTGATCGATGTTTCTAACTCTCTATCCCTCTCCTCTCCCTTCCTCTCTTTAAAAAAATCAATAAATGTATTTTAAAAAACAAAAAACTAGTGAAAGTCAAAGTGTGAAGCTAATTGTAATGCACCAATGTTGGTTCCTATAGTTGTGGCAAATGTACACAGTAAAGTAAGATGTTAACAAGAGAAACTGGTGAGAGGTGATGGGGACTCACTGTATTATCTTTGAGGTTTCCTATAAATCTAAAACTATTCTAAAATTATTTAAACACAAAATATGGGGTGTTGGGGCAAACAAGCAGCTTTAGTAAATGCTGTTCTATTATGGAGTGGTAAAGAGAAATGTGGTTGTTAACTTCAATACTTACGATGGTGAAGCAGGCCATTCTTAGAGTTAATAAAACATTTAAAAAAGTTGTGAAGTCTTTTTCTTTTAGGATTTTTTAAAAATGTTTTAATTTTAGAAAGAAAGGGAGAGGGATAGAGAACATCGATGAGAGAGAAACATCGATTGGCCGCCTCCTGCACACCCCCCATTGGGGATCAGTCCACAATCGGGTATGTGCCTTGACTAGGAATCCAACAGAGAACCTCTGGGTTCATGGGTGGACGCTCAACCACTGAGCCACTCCTGGCTGGGCTAGGATTTTCATTTTTTAATCCTTATCCCAGGATATTTTTCCATTGATTTTTAGAGAATGAAAGAGGGAAAGACAGAGAGAAATATCAATGTGAGAGAAACACACCGACTGGTTGCCTCCTGCACTCACCTCAACCGGGGGCTGGTCCGGAAGAAGCCTGCAATTGAGGTTCTACCCTTGACCGGAATCGAACCTGGGACCTTTTGGTCAGCAGGCCGATGCTCTATCCACTGAGCAAACAGGCTAGGGCAGATTTTTTTTTTAACACATGCCTTGTCTCTAGGAGCAGCAATATTTAATTTCTGACTCTCTTCCAATAACTGTCAGAATATTGGCCTGATGAAATAGTTTCTAGCCGATCTATTTCAAACATAACACAAAGCCTTTTAAAAAATTTTATCAAATACTTTTAGTTTTGAACTAGTTGGCAACATTACAATATTCTTTTGTCCCTTGAAATCACACAGTCCATTTTCCAGTTTGGCAATTCTATCTCCATAGGCTCAAAGGCTACCTGCAGAGGTTTAAAACACAAATCTGTTCATATCACCCAGCTGTTTAAAATTACTTAACTTTCTGCATGGTAAACAAGTGCCAAGCTGGCCTCTGCCTCCCCTTTCAGTCATCACTGTTCCCTATGCTCACTCAATGCCCAATTCTTATGGCAGGCTTCAATTGGTAGTTCAAGTCTCAGCTCAGTAACTAACCCATGAAAAGGTGCTCAACCTTAGTTATAATAAAATATGCTCCCACCTCTCAGATTGGCAAATATTAAAAAACAAATCTGATAATGCTCTGCATTGATGTTTCGTTTTTCACCTGAGGAAAGCCAGCAATTTCACATTTGGTCATGCTGAGTTAGGGATGCCCTTCAGGTCATGGCTTCTGGATTTTTTTTAGTAAAGTGCTCATAAAATAAAAAAGCATGTGGACAGGAAACAGAGGCTTCATTACTAACTCACCCTGTCTCCAAGCCCAGTGAACTACTTTTTTAGGCTCTCTAGAATTTGAGCTAACGAGATCCATCAATGCCCTGGCCAGGTAGCTCAGATGGTTAGAATGTCGTCCTGATACCCATGGTTGCAGGTTCCCTGGTTAGGGCACATACAAGAATCAATCAATAAATGCATAAAGTGGAACAACAGATGGATGTTTGTTTTTTCTCTCTCCTTGCCCCTCCCTCTAAAATAATGAGGGGGGGAAAAAGCTTTAAAGAGGTCCATTAAGCAAAAGTTCATGGTCTACTATAAGCAGCAGGCTTTTGTTCTGCTCCAAGTTTTTTTTTCTTCCCCTCCTTTATGCCTGTTTCCCAAAGCATGTTTCTCCTTATAAAAGAGCCCCCAGCCATTCTGGAACAAGATGAGGCATAAATAATAAAATTATCATAGATTCTGACAATTTAATGCTAAAATGCCTTTAACACACTCAGTCTGTTCCTGAAAACTCCCAAGCAGGCAAATTTGATCATTTTTGAGGCACAGAATTCTGTTAGAGTTTTTGTTTCCAAGCTTTTCTTTAAGCCAAACCAAACCCAACCAAATTGTGCATAATATTTTATCTTCTATCTTCAAGATCCTAGTTCAGTCCTAGACCAACACTTACTTTCTCCATAGTAGCCTTAAAATGCCTGAAAACAATTATCTTGCCTCTTAACTCTCTTTTTATCCACTTGTTTCAACTGTTCCTCAAATAACATAAGTTTCCAAGTACCTCACCTACCAGATGACCTTTCTTTTGACAAACTCTTAACAAATGGTCCTGTAATACCGTGTTTCCAAACTTGAGCAGATCCCTGTTATTTAGATGCTTCCTTTTAATTAAAAATAATAATAATATATATATATATATATTGATTTCGGAGAGGGAGATAGAAACATCAATGATGCGAGAAACTCATTGATCGGCTGTCTCCTGCACACCTCACACTGACCACTGAGCCCGAAACCCAGGCATGTGCCCTTGACCGGAATCGAACCCGGGACCCTTCAGTCCATAGGCCTACGCTCTATCCACTGAGCCAAATCGGCTAGAGCACGATGCTTTTTTTAAAAAAAAAAATGTATTGACCTTAGAGAGGGGGGGGGGAAGGGTGGGAGGGAGAGAGAAGGGGAGCGGGGGGAGAGATCTGTTGCAGTTACTCATGCATTCATGGGTTGCTTCTTGTATATGCCCCGACCCGAGATGGACCCCGAAACCTTTGCGTATGGGGAGGACGCTTAACCAAATGAGCTACCCATCCAGGGCCTTGTATACTTTCCAACCTGAACAAAGACCAACGAGACTATTCACTCCCTCGGATCGGGCCTTCTAAAGAGGTTCGCTTTCTCAGAAGGCCCGCAACCCCCTGGGGCGGTTCGTCAATTAGCCCTGAGTTCGGGCCTCCCTTTGAGGGCCCTGGGGGTGGGGGTTGGGGAGTGGGGGGGGGGGAAGAGACTTGGTAGCCCCTGCTCTGCTCAAGGAGCGCGCAAAAACGGCTCTGAAACTGCGAACCGAAGTTTCATTTGTTAAAGCCTCGGGAGGAGGAAAGGCTTCCCAGGGAGCAAGCGCCCCCAGGGCTGGGCAGGGACACGGGCTCCTCCCCCAGCCCTTCCGGGCCCGACTGGGACGCCGCGGAGGCCACAGCCCTGCGCCCACAGCCCGGCGCCCAGGGCCCCCGCTCCCAATCCTCGCGACCGCGCTCCCTCCTCCGCCCGCCGAGCTCACCGGGACCAGCGGGCTCACCGTGAGTCAGAGTCGCTGCTGGCGCTGGGACACCTGGACGCGCTCCGCGGCGGGCGCAGCCGGAAGTGCGTCACAGCCCGTCCGCGGGCCGTTTTGCGCGGCCGCAGTGGCCCCTCTAGGAACTCAGGGGAAGTCTCGGCGGCTCGGTAGATCGCGGCTCCTCCAACGTGAACCGGCGGGATCTCGTCTCCCCGGCGGTTTTTTACTAAAAAAAGTCCCGACCTAAAGGCGGCGGCTTCGGCCAGAAAGGAGCAACTAGGGAGACACCATGCGGTTCGACCTGAGAGAATCTGGAGAAACTTCTTACCTTTGGTAGAAAGACGGGAGAATGAGGGACAAAGCGGTCTAGTTTTCCAATCTGGGAAGTGTTGTCATTTGAGAAAGAAGTTTGCATTATGGGACCAGAAGACCAATGGATGGAACTGAGGGAGAAGTTCAGTGCCAGGAAGGACTGTCTTGAGGAGGAGTTGCCCAGAAATGGCCACTCGCTCGGGTTTCTGACGAGCGTCCTCCCTGCCCCGAAGGCGCGAGGCCGGGACCCCTGGTCCAGGGCGCACACCTGGGCCGCGGCTCCATTCTAGGCCCGTCAGGGTCCCCACTCTCTGAAAATCAGCGGGGAAAATGTCCTCGGGTGAGGATTCACAAAAACAAGCCAAACAAACAAAAATGGCCACCTCCTGAATCATCTTGTGCTGTTTGAAGAATTAGGAGAGGCCTGGGGATGGGGCGGACAGGAGGTTCGCAGGATGAATTGTGTGGGTTAGACAACCTTTAACACCTTCCTACAGCTCGCCTGAGGCTCCTAGTTTCCCCTTTAAAACGGGGAACTTGTAACACTCCTTCGCCATCACCGCTCCCTCCACACACCGCCTTTGAGTACTTACTATGGGCCAGGTACCGTGTTGTGTTCTTGGTTTCAGTTTTTTATTGCTGCGCAAAACTCTACCCCCAAACTTAGTGCCTTAACACAACATTTATCATGTATTACATGACCTCACAAATCTGCGGATTGGCTGGTGGTTCTGCTTCCGTGGTATCGAGTGAGGAGCTGGGATGGCTGGCAATTGGTGCTGGTCCCCAGGCTGGGAGCTCAGCCCGGATGCTGGCCTGGGGCCTCCGTGTTCCTCCCTGTCTGTCTGTGGGCGTGGCTGCTTGGGCTTTCTCCGCAGGATGATTGGATTCCCCAAGAGGAGCATTTTACTAGGTGTACCCGTTAATAATGCGGATTTTTTTCAATAGATGGGGTTACACATATGTTGATATATATGTGATTTGATATGTATGTTATTTTGTTGTATTGACAACAAGCTTCAAAACTTCCTATGTCAAATTTTCTGAAAGTGTTAACATCATAGATATTTTTATGCTTAAAAATGTCGAATTTCATGCAAAAAAAAGAGCATTTGCGGGAAGTTTTAATTCATTATTTTGAAGAAAAGTGCTAGCCATGGACATTACTTTGAATAAAGCACTTTTGATGTTTCTCTTGAAATTATCATGTTTTCTTTGATCATAAAATCCGCATTACTAACTGGTTAGTAATGCGGATTAATCGTTAACCGGTTAGTAATTCAGATTAATCGTTAACTGGTTAGTAATCCGGATTAATCATTGACCGTTTAGTAATGTGGGTTTTGTGATAATTTCAAGAGAAACATTAAAAGTGCTTTATTCTAAGTAATGTCCATCGCTAGCACTTTTCTTCAAAATAATGAATTAAAACTTCCTGCAAATGCTCTTTTATTTTTGGCACGAAATTTGACATTTTTGTGGACAAAAGGGGCCATATGTTAACCTGACTAGTTCACGGAAGGCCTGCATGGTGGTTGTGCAAACTCAAAGACCTAAAATAACCACAAAAGATGGTCTGAAAATTAAATATTTAACTATAAACAAGTTATAGTGGGTAGTCATGTCCTAGGCCAGTATTTTCCCTGACAAAGATCAACATAGATCTTTACTGAGCCCATTTGTCTTTTTGCCTCTAAGATAACATATTGGTGAAATGTCTGGGTAACTTGTAACTTCTCTTTTTTTCCAGACCCCTCAAGGCACAACAAATGGCACCAGGACATTCCCTCATTGTTATTGTTATCAAGTTAATTGTCAACTGTTAATTATGTAAAACTCTCCTGTATCCATCTATGTAAAAGAAGCATATGTCCATCACTTCACTTTACCCTATCCCAGAGGTTTCCCTGCTTTGCTTTATCCCACCTCAATCTGTCACCAATGGATTTCATGTAAACCACTTCCGTATTTTCCTTTTGATGATAAATTTATAAAAACAAGATATGAACTCCCCATTCTCTGGAGCATTATCTCAATTCATTGAGGTTCTGCTTCCTGGCATATGTCAACAGTTTGGCTCAAATAAACTCACAAAAATTCTTTACAGGTTTCAGTGGTTTTTTTTTTTTTTTATGTTACCATTTTTAAGCGTAAAAATATCTATGATGTTAACACCTTCAGAAAATTTGACATAAGTTTTGAAGATTGTTGTCAATACAACAAAATAGCATACATATCAAAGCACATACATATCAACATATGTGGAACCCCCATCTATTGAAAAAAATCTGCCGAAACCGGTTTGGCTCAGTGGATAGAGCGTCGGCTTGCGGACTGAAAGGTCCCAGGTTCGATTCCAGTCAAGGGCATGTACCTGGGTTGCGGGCACATCCCCAGTAGGAGATGTGCAGGAGGCAGCTGATCGATGTTCCTCTCTCATCGATGTTTCTAACTCTCTATCTCTCTCCCTTCCTCTCTGTAGAAAATCAATAAAATATATTAAAAAAAAAAAGAAAGAAATCTGCATCATTAACCGGTACACCTAGTAAGAGGTCAAGGTGGAACTTGTAGATGTTTAGGGCCCAGCCTTGGAAGTTAAATAGCATCATTTTCACCACCTTTTGTTAAAACAGGTCACTGGTCCAGACTCAAATGGAAGAAAAACAGATTCTATCTCTTGGTCACACTGCAAGAGTATGTGGGATGGGAGATAATGTGACTATCTTTGGAAACAATCTACTACACACATGTATCTTCATTATATCAATCTTTGAAATACTGTAATCCTGAGAATACTTACCCCTGTGAAATAGTAAAATTTCTATTTTAAGATCAAGAAACTTGGGCTCAGAAAGCTAAGTGACTTTTCCAGTGTCATACAACCGACATGTGGGAAGTCAAGATTCAGACTTGGCTCTCTTTCTCCAAAGCCTATGATTTCTTTTTTTTAAATCCTCACTCTAGAATATTTTTCCATTGAATTTTTTAGAGGGAGTGGAAGAGAGAGGGAAAGACAGAGAGAAATATTGATGTGGGAGAAACGCATCGATTTGTTGCGCCCTGACCTGGCTCGGGCGGGGGAAGAGCCTGCAGGCCCTGGGGAGGAGCCTGCAACTGAGGTACTTGCCCTTGGCCAGGCTCCAACCCAGGACCCTTTGGTCCACAGTCTGATGCTCTATCCACTGAGCCAAACCAGCTAAGACCCAAAGCCTATGTTTATAAGCTCTATAATTCCTCTGCATCGGCTGGAAAAAGAATAAATGGTTAAAGGGAATAGAATCACTAGGACTGAGGGGAAAACCAGGAAACCTGTATCTGTTCTATTAGCCACACGTGTGTGGATGCTTTGGTAGCACTCTAACCAGTCACTTAGTCAAAGGATTTTTGCTTACCCGTGTAACCAGTGAGTTGTGATGCAGGGGCTTGAAGAAGGGGCCTAGAGTTGCAAGATATTTATACCAAAAGAAACCTTAAGGACAATCTGGTAAAGCTCTTGTTTTTAGATGAAGAAGCCAATGCTTAGAGAAGTCAGATCCAAGGCACACTAGTTAGCTAATTAGTAGCAAATCTTAGAGTAGAATTCTGATTCTCTAATTCAATGTGTGTCATTACTATGTCTCAACAGATTTTTAAAGATATCATTCATACAAATCATATGGTATTAAAACAAGTTAACCTAGAACAATCCATTATTTTCTTCCATTAATATAACCATGACCATATGAAAAGACCACAAGAGAACAAAGGAAAAGTTAGTCAAATTGCTGGTGACTCACTGTGATGTGTCACCTGCATTTCCTCTTTAGAATGGTTTTGATTTCCAGGAACCTCATACTCTTCCAATGAATTCATTCCACAAACACCAAGAACCTACAGTGTGTCAGATATTGTGTTAAGGCACAAGGGTAAATGAAAAATACACACAATCCTAGCTGGTTTGGCTCAGTGGATAGAGTGTCAGCCTGTGGACTGAAGGGTCCCAGGTTCGATTCTGGTCAGGGGTACATGCCTGGGTTGTGGGTTTGATCCCCAGTAGGGGGTGTGCAGGAGGCAGCAATCAGTGATTCTCATCATGGATGTTTCTATCTCTCTTTCCCCTCCCTTCCTCTCTGAAATCAATAAAGATATATTTAAAACAATACACACAGTTCTTGGCAGACATGTAATCAAATAATTATAGAAATGTTGTGATAAGAGTTGAGACCAATAAGTGGTGACTGAATGAATGTGTCATCTTGGGGATCTCAGTCTAGCCTTCTGTAACATACAAACATTCTATGACAATTCTGTTACTAACCATTTCTGTGGCAGGGAGCTTACTACTTTAGAGGACAATTCCCTCTTTTGGGAGAGTTCTACTTGGTAAAAGTTCTTTAAAGCAGAAATCTGCATTCCTATAATTTCAACTCATTGATCTTAGTCTTGATCTATTCTTTTCTGTCACAAAATGCATGTAGTTGTTATTCTTGTCCCTTTAAAATATTTTAAATTATCACATGATTGTCCCAAAGATCGCTCTGTGGAAAAGGAGGAGAGAGCCAAGGCTTACAGTAACCACTGGTAGCTTTTCCCCTTCCAGGTTTCTGCTACAAAGGGGATAGGAATCCTTTTTCCTTTTCAAGCCAAATGTTTCAAGACAAAAGAGAACTGAGTATATAGAGAAAGTAAAGTGGAAGAGTATGGAGGTCTTTTAAATGAGGAACTGTGGACCCTTAGAGTGGCCCACAGTCAGTTCAGACATTTATATTCAAAGATTCAGAAGCAGCTTTCAGACATGATCATGGTCATGGCTCTCTCTCAAATGGTTGCTTTCCGGATCTTCCTCACTTCTGCCATCACCTATTTCTGTGCCATCACTGACCTTGGCCAGTAGAGGGTGATCAAACCTTGATTTCTCTTAGAACAAGGCTGGGCAGGCTTCTTGTCCATTACAGCTCTGAGAACGTCCGTCTTCCTTGAAGGAGTCCACACATATAGCATGTTGGGAAGCTGCAAAGACATTTTCTAAAGAAAATGAAAAGAATAGATATGGAGTGGTGTAGACAACCCCAGGGCTTAGCGCTGAAGCTCTGTTGCTAATGAGCCTTGGGAGATTTGGATATGTTGCTTGATTATCTGAAAATGGAATGATAATATTCGTTCTGATAACATTTTTTTCCTTTTTTTAAAAAAATATATTTTATTGATTTTTTACAGAGAGGAAGGGAGAGAGATAGAGAGTTAGAAACATCGATGAGAGAGAAACATCGATCAGCTGCCTCCTGCACATCTCCTGCTGGGGATGTGCCCGCAACCCAGGTACATGCCCTTGACCGGAATCGAACCTGGGACCTTTCAGTCCGCAGGCCGACGCTCTATCCACTGAGCCAAACCAGTTTCGGCCATTTTTTTTCCTTTAATAAAAATATTTTTACATGATTTCAGAGGGAAAGAGAGAAACATCAATGATAAGAGGGAATCATTGATTGACTGCCTTCTGCATGCCCTACACAGGGATCAAGCCCACAACCTGAGCATATAAACGGACCGGGAATCAAACCATGACGTCCTGGTTCATAGGTCGACACTCAACCACTGAGCAACGCCAGTGGGCTTCTCTGACAACTTTAAAGTGCTGGGTCATGCGAGAGTGAACTAGCTTTGTAACTACTTATACCAATAATAAGGGATTTTTAATCTTCAAAACTCTTGGCTACAATATTATTTTTGATCCCCTCTTTGTTTCCCCCCCCAAGGGATGGATGTAGCTCCACCTATCACAGATCCATATTTCTATTCTGTCCACTATGGATTGGGCCACCTGCCTTCTTCTTAATAAGAGAGGGTACTTTCTTGCCACAACTTGCACAAGAACACGTTACTGGCTTGTTCCCCCTAGCTTGAGGAAGAACCCAGGAAAAATTTGCATACTCTCTTGCCCTGACCAGTTTGGCTCAGTGGCTAGAGCATCGGCCTGCGGACTCAAGGGTCCCGGGTTTGATTCCGGTCAAGGGCATGTACCTTGGTTGCGAGCACATACCCAGTGGGGAGTGTGCAGGAGGCAGCTGATCGATGTTTCTAGCTCTCTATCCCTCTCCCTTCCTCTCTGTGAAAAATAAATAAAATATATTTTAAAAAATTTGCATACTCTCAGAATACAAGGAGATTACAAAGGCTACCTGGCCTAGGCCTACCCCCCATGCAAGATCCCTTCTTGCCCAGACCCCTGTGTGTCCCCCAGCCATACACGAATAAACTGATTCAGCCACCTGCTCTGGCTGCTCTGCAGCAAGGTTCTTTCTCCTCCCAGTGGCGTCCACTAGGGTCACTCCTGAGTGTGCAACTTGTGCCCTGCACAACCCTAGGGGCCACCATTTATCTTATCGGGGAGTTTTCAGGGAGTTATATAGTTATCACAACTTGCCAGCAGAAGGCAGACAAATTTCCTGAAGATGGGGTACCTTTCTTTAATTTGCCCCAAATCCTGGTAGTGGCTAGGCAGAGCTGGCTTTACTAAGCTGCCTTACTCATTGCTGTATCTCCTTCCTTTTATTATTCCCAATACACAGCATATGCCTGACAATCATGTTTGTAGAAGGGGATTTAGTTCTATTTCTTGGAGTCAAGCAGAACAAACTGAAATCCTCTTCTAAGATGACAGGCCTTTACATCTTTGAGGGCAGAAACCAAGTTCCCAGTGAGATTTTTCCTCCTCAAGAAAAATCCCTGGTTGCACACATGAGGATATTTGTTTTTGTTTTTTTGTTAATCCTCACTTGAGGATATTTTTCCACTGATTTTTAGAGAGAGCAGGAAGGAGGGGAAGAGATAGAAAGAAACATCGATGTGAGACACACACACATCAATTGGTTGCCTCCTGAGTGTGCCCGACCAGGGTGGGGCATCAAGCCTGCAACTGGCACATGCCCTTGACCAGAATTGAACCTGGGCCCTTTCAGTCTGGAGGCTGACACTCTATCCATTAAGCAAAACTGGCTAGGGCTGGTTTTGCTCTTACCATCCTGCAGTTAATCTG